CGTGAACAATCTCGGTCAATCGCTTATGCGAGTTCGGGATCGGTTCAGAGTGGAAGGCATGCACACATAATTCAGTCTGCAGGACCACTTTTGCACAGAACGGACCTCACTACAGTCGCTCATGGTTGCATTGCCATCAATCGCCACGCTTCCTCCTCTTGCGCTTGCGCTTATCAGAGTCGGCTGCTTCGACCTCTTCGCCACCACCACTCTCGGACTGTGCGCCAGTCGCTACAGCTGCCTTCTCCACCGCTTGTCGGCACACCTTCTCTGGCACCTTGGTCCAGTAGAGCTCTTCCCGCGTGCCTTCGACAATCTCAAGTGCAATCACTTTGCCATTTGATACCAATGACGGGATTGAGCCGCTGGTGTCGAGGCCATTGATCTGTGCTTTTGGATGCGCAGCGAAGAATTCCGTCAGTACCTGCGTATGACGCGCGGAGGCGAGGCGCAAGTAGCACTGACTCCCATGTATGGCGTTAGTATGCGGGAGAGACATACAGCACGACTGACTGACCGTATCCATGCCTTTAGAGAAGTCGACGTAGTCGAGGCCTGCACCCGAAACCTCGCTGCCGGTAAAGGCCTGCGAGAACAACGCGCGGAGAGTGGTTTTGTTTGTTTCCGGGTGTATGTTGCGCACGAACACGAGGCAACCCTGTGGGTAAAGAGACCAGAGGTCTGTAGTCGGTAAATGTGACGGCGCAGGCGGCACGGCGGGCTCTTCGAACACCGCCTCAGGATCGTCTGCAGCATTCCCATTTTCTTGCTCAACGTAGGCCAGAGCATCCATGATCGTCTGACGGTAGGCAAGGTACTCTTCCTGCAGTTCGTCCCAACTCGCACGCAGCATGGTGCGGAAGCCGAACTTGATGGCTTCCTGAGCCTCTGGGATGTCGGCGACGCCGTGGAGATCGACCAGGCGAACGTTCCACGGCCAGCGACGCGTTAGCTCTGCCGCCTGCTCGGGGCTCGAGAGTGTAATGAGAGCGAAGCCTTTGCATTTGGGTATGTCTTCTGGCTTGTCGTGGGCATGAGGAGGTAGCCAGATTCGTTGCACTGCATGTGTAGAGTGTGCGGGACTTGCAAGGAGTGACTGAGTGAAGCGGGCTATACCGGCTAGCGTTCTGTACTGCAAGGGGATGCTCTCCTGCAGGAAGCCGTTTAACTGAGGAGCATGAGACAAGCAGTCGTGACGCACCGCATAGATGGTGCTAGTAGCCCAGTCATCCTCCGTAAGCTGCTGAGCACGTTGCAGGGCGTCGGCCCAATCCCCTCTGCGTACCTCGTATCCCCCTAGCTCGTCCTTCACGCTGTCCTTTCCATACCACGCCGAGCGCGAGGGCGCTGATACTAAGACGCGGACTTGTAGCGCATCATCGTCCTGGGCACGTATTGCTTTCGCTATGGTGGTCTCTGTCGGCGGCGGATCGAGCGTGGACAAGGTGGTTGAGTGGGAGAGAAGATACCGGAGCGGGATGTCTACAAGCCGGGTATAGCGTGAGCTCATTTACCGGCCTTCATCGTGAATAGCTCCTACAGCCGTCCGGTGCATTGACAAGTCTGCTTCTGAGGTGCTCGTCCGACCAGATTGCGTGGTCAGAAAGTGCCAGACAGAGCAAGATGTAGCAGTCTTGTGCGGACGGACCCGAGTCGACGGCTTTCCCCTTCCCTTTGACGTCTATTTGTTGGCCTCTGTCGGCCGCTGCACCTTGACTTGCGGAGGAAGCGGGGATGACACCGTGTCGAATCTGGGATGAGCCTGCGCTTGCGCCTGCCGCCTTGCTTGCTCGAGCAACTTTTCGTGGGACGAAGGGGAACATAGGCTGCCCGCTGTATGTGACTAGTGTGTATGAGTGAGGTTGTACATAAGGCAGGGTTGTCGAGCTCGTGGTCCTGCGACGTGCGTTCCACGCAAACGGGCCTCCGGGCCGCGAGGCCGCGAGGCCGCGAGTTGCATCATTATTCGGTGGCAAGTGCGCAAAGAACCGAGTCTTGTTCAGACTAGTAATTCATAACATCGGATAACGATCTACCCGCTCGGTTTCTAACTATCGAATCGACACCTCGACAGCGAGCCTTATCGTAGAGTCCGATTTCCACCGTACTATACTTGAGGGTCGCATTGAATGACTCGGACAGTCACAAACAATGCGTCTCATTCAGAGTCGGCCTATTCTGCTGAATCCGTATCAATTACGCAGGCGCGCAATCATATGGGAAGTAGTGAGAGTTCTGTCATGATATGCTGTAGGTATACGAAATGCGTCACGCGAGGCCTCCGAGACTCAAGTCAATGCTGTTTTGTTAGCCTGCCGGGCCCTGCCTTGAGTTCAAGTTCAATGTCCTTTACCAGCTACCCGGCGTCGATGATGATAGTACAGGATTCGTAGCGGAGGCTCGCGATTCTATCGGAAGCTTCATAGATGAGAGGCTTCTCTCCGAGATGCCTTCGCATCCCCGCGTGTCTCGAGTCTCGACCAACAGCAATAGCGGCGACGAGCGGCCTTGAAGAAGGATAAGTCTTAGGCAGAAGAGCAGCCTATGTTCACACATACCTTCTAGTTCGCCCCGGTCATGAGTATGCCGCTATTCCGACGTCGGAAAAACTTCCTGCACATCTCGAACCATCAGAACTGCAGTCAGGCCTCTTGGGAAAATGAATCATTGGAGTCATGGGTGCGAGCGGTATGGCGTACCTATGTCGTAAAATGTTGTCTTCGTCCATATAGGGCATAAGGGATAGCACCAAAATGGAGAGCTTGGACCCTGTTGGCAGCCGGTAGATAGGTTCCCACTGATTCTGAAGATGGCGGCAGCAGTGTACGGTTCACTACTGACCAGACCGACCGAGGGGCCCCGGGTTCAGCGATGACTGCATCGAGAAGGAAGAGTCGGAGTCCGCCGTCTTTTCTGCGACCACCGTAGGAACCCAATCGGCCAATGACTGCAAATAGCCCGACAGCTCCAACTTGAAGGCGCAGTTGGCGTCGAACTGCCGAGCTGCATGGGGATACTGTCAAAGCGGTGAGTTTGTAATGTCAAGCGAGCTCAAGTTGGTTGAATTGCGCTATACGAAGCTCGTTACCGGTAGCGAAAATAATTACTGCCAATTGAGTTCAGTCGCCTGGGAGCCATAATTCTGTGCACCATGTGAAGTCGGTAAGAGTGTCGATGAGAGATTTGCGTTAATTTCGCCGCTACTAGTGATGCAAAACATGGTTACTAACGAAATTAACCGAACACCCTTTGGGAGGCTCGGAGTATGCAGGGATTGTCAAATCTCATCATCTCTAGGTCGGTAAAGGTTTACGTCACGTTTGCACAGAATTGCTTGCTGTTTGTAACTCACGTAGTAAAACACGGTGATGTAACTTACACGGCGGCCTTGACGGCCTACGCAGCCGTTGGCAGTAGCCGCTTCTGCCTCGGCCGGACAAGATGCCAGTGGATGACGCCCCTATAACATAGCGGTTAATCGTAGACAGAGTGATAACTTGCCCGTGCCGGGACAAGCGGTATGATTGTCTTGCAGCAAAGGCGACGAATCACATATTTGACGCGAAACACAGCGCAGAGTCGATATGCAGTGTCGGCACGGCATGGTGGATTTCATCGCCAGATGCATCGCCGCAACGGATACGGTCACTGCAGCCAGTGTCACTGGTGTTGACGGCCTTGGACGCGGAAAAAAATACCAGAGCGGAGGCATCTGCAGCGAACGAGTCGAACCGTGGGTGATTGTGGGACACACAGGTCGCCGAAGCGACGGGGCTAGTATCGGAAATGGAAATACGGAGACACGACAGCGGAAAGAGATCGTTTTGAAGGTCGCGGCTGAATCTGCGGGCAAAGTTGAGCCTGTTCACACCGAGGCGTCTGCAACTTCTGCTCATCGAGATTCCAACAGTAAGCGAAATCTGAGAAGCCCAGAATCCGAAGCAGCGGCCCCAGACCGAGAAGGACACACACAAGAGCAAATTCTGCTCCACAATGATGGGCAACCAGGTTCGATCCACCGCTCGGTATCGTGCCTTCCGCCACACCCGTTATAGGTATGTGAGGAATCGACGCCCTATGAGTTGTGGGCGTTCCGCCTAGTGCAGTGTACGGTGTACGTGCGCCGCTCGCAAGAGAGCCCTGCCGGAGACAATATGTGAGCAAACTGTGACCGCCGGAAGCACTGCGCCGACGAGGAGCATTAGGGAAGTCTCACTGGCGTGAGCATCAAATCCGTGGAAATGACACACAACGGTACAACTGACCCAAAAGGCACTGCGTTTGTAGCAGAAACTGGCAGCTGAGACCCAGCAGAATTCGGATATCCGGGAGGCTCCGTACTACACCGGCCCTGGACGACTGAGCGGAGCGCCGACCCAGAGGCCTCGTAGCCTCGGTGCGTAGTACGTACCATATGGAGAAAATGACGAAGACAATTGAAGGGCCGTTTAGGAAAGCGAGCCGGATTGGCATGTGAGTACTGGATAGGTTTCTCTGGTTTGTTCTACAACAGGAAGAAGAACACGGCCCTTTTGTGTTTATATCGATTAATGGTTCCAGAGCCGCTTCAACGTTCGACGTGACTCACTCGAAGTATGCTCATCCCGTTGGATCCTCTGCCCCGCCTCCTCCGCAAATACCCCCAAGGGCCTCCCCAATACGACCTCTCATAGTTCGAGACAAGAAAGTAGCACAAGGTTGGTTGGTGGAGCTTCAAACAGTGAGACAATCGGGTGTCGCTTCAAGTCGAATGCCAGTGTCCACTGATGACTGACCATATAAGTTATTATCTTTTGAATTAGGCATCACTCATTCATTCCAATAGGAGACTGCCGATCGGGGAACACGAAGGTTGAGCATGCCAACGCGATAAAATCTAGTAACCCTTCATTAACGGCGAGCCATTGCAAGGACACTGGACCTGAGAGCACACACAGGGCGTGAACTAAGCTGTCGGAATGAGCGGGAATGATAAAGGCTGTCGCCATACTAATCAGCATCCTTCGATAGCTCAGTTGGAAGAGCGTAAGACTGTAATTGGTTAGGTAATCTTAAGGTCACTGGTTCGATCCCGGTTCGAAGGATTGCTTTTGAACCCCATTCCGTTGCCGTTTTACGCATCAAAGCTGCTCAATTTATGTTCACTACTAGCTTCTGATTAGTCAATATGTAGTCTGAGGGTTCATTTCTTCAGCGCTACAGTAGCCTACTCCGCATCGTGTAACATGAAATTAGGGATCATGTCGGACCGCAGAAGTTAGTTAGTACGTACCGTCTTCGTGACTTCAAAAATCCTCCGTTGACACATAAAGAGAATGGCAGCCGTCAACACGCTCTGCAAGAGTTTACTGCCGACGCCTTTGTAGAGGCCCTCGACACCTTCTTCCCGAATGATAGTTAGAAGACCATCGAGAGAAGACTTGTATCGCATTGCGTGAGCTTGTCCCGCTTGCAATCTGCTCTTGACAACACTAAGGAGCTGTCAGCAGCAGGCATGGGCCCCAGTACGCGATCGTTCGACGTACATATAAGGGTATGTGGACGAAGTCGCAACTACGTGGATGTCAGCGTGGTACAACAGTGACTAGGAGGTCATCTCACCAAGTTTCGATAGTGCGCCAAGGATGAAATAGTCAACGTCAGACAGCACCGCGATAGCGGATGACACTGCGCCGGAAGCCCTGAGACGTGCCGTACGTCGACGAATCAGAGTATTCTTCAGTTGCTCGAATACTGTATATTGGATGACCGGGTTCATGACGAGAACCAAGGCGGGTCCGATCCCCCGCCAGAAGGCGGCAAGCCCGTCCTTCCGCAGAATTTGCAGTACGGTATCGATGGTGCCCATCTTGCGCGGCTTAGGCCCGCTCTGGTCCGACGACTGGTCTATTCCACGGACTGCCTGTGACGTTTGCACCACCCAGATGGGATTACTGATGATTGTGGTGGCAGAGCCGGCAATGAGGCCAGTGAGGATAGACTCGAGAGTGCTAAGCCCTTTAGGACCTTGCTTGTGGGCAAGGATGGCGCCGCGCGACCGTTCATAGAAATAATAATATACGCTTTTGACCGCTGGTCAGAAATGTGCATTGAATATGAGATGCGTCGCTCACCCATTCGTGACTGCAACGCCTAGTAGGCTGGGGCCAAGACCGCTGTAGAGTCCCAGGATACCCTCGCGTCTCACGATATCTAGGACAGCCTCGTATACACTCTGTTCAACAAAGAGCATCATACATCACGCGCTGTATACGGTGAAGTATCCGACCTACCTTACGCTCTTTCTTAGTCTCTACAGCAGCGCGAGTAGAGAGAAAGATGAGGGGGCTACGATGGGAAGTCAGAATGTACAAATGGTTGGTCGTGGACAGACAGACTATGTCGCAGTCATTGCCAACACGCCGCCTGCGGCTCCTGCGACAGCATGGATAGTCGAGTCGCTGGGCATAGCGGTTGCGTCCCAGATGTATCTTGCAGACTACGGGGGACAATCCGGCGTCGCTGCTTTAGGTCGTGGTGGTTGTGGTGAGACGAAGCGGACAGCGCCACTGAGCCCACGCAATCACATGCTCCGCTACGGGAGCCCGGCGACTACGGTTCAAGTGAATACAACACAGAAAAGTATCAGGTGGATGCATCATCACCATGATATAGTATGCCTAGATGTCTACAAAATGCGAGTCTGTCCTACCGCGTAGCTTGATCCTCCAGCTGAAGCTCGGTTAGCAGGCGCTTCAGCTCATCCACGTCTGCCTGGAATCCGTTCGAACTCCCAGCCGCCACAGGAATCTTGCCTCCATACCCACCGTCTGTGATTGGGCTCCCATCGTCCAACGGAAGCCAGGCGTCCAACTGTTTGATGATCGACTTCGCCTTCAGCCGGAAGTGGGTGCGAATCACGTCCTCAAATGGCTCCGGCGGGTTCTTCAGATTCCCAAGCATCTGCGTACCGATGCGGGTCAGAAACTATAAGTTCTATCGGAGAGCTAATCGGACATACCGCCGTTCGTACAACCATACGGCGGACATTTGCCGAATCTAAAAGAAGATATAGTCTTTGACAGAACTAGGACTATGTATACCACTTACACACGCGTGACGCGGAGGTTCCGCCGCCTGATGCCCACCCAGGTTCGTTGAGGTACGGCTCCTCGCAGAGGATCATAGATTGAATTGATATGAGCACCTCAAGAGATCGCGTCTTCAAGGTGCTCTAGTCGTCTTGAACAGCTCACTCACCTGCAAAAGAGTCGACTTCCCGGAAACCCAACCCGGGCCTGACCACGTTCCGAGCAGAGACAAGCACACTTTGCCATCCTGATCGACAAAGTTAGACTATTCCAACTAAAGGCTAGAATTAGACTAACCGCATATAGATTTGGGTTGAAACGGAACTTTCCCCCGTTCGTCTGCGCAAGATTTATTTAGGATCTGGGGTGACGATGTATCTGCATTCCTCTTACCGTCATGTACTTGACGCTAGGCGGAGATTGGTTATAGCTAGGACCGAGGAACACATCAAACAAATAGCTTTTTTTCACGACTACGTTATTGGGTCGCATTCACGCAAATGGACTGAGAATTGCGTACCATCCGTTGTAATATCTGGCCATGTGCGAGGGGAGATTAGCGAAGCAACAGGAGATTATCATGCCTGGACCTACGGTGTGCCTTCGGGGCCAGTGATCAAGACCTTGATAACGTCCACGCGGCTCTCATCCACCCGCAAGAAGATCGAAGAGTTCCAGTCCACCGGAAGGTTCGTCGTGAGCACAGCGAGCTGTCATCCGCCGTCAGACTGGGGGAGCAGCGACGGCAGCAGTCTCACGTACCTCCTTCGCGATGGCCAACGAGCGCTTCGGGATATCGGCGTTCGCGAGCATTCGCGCTTCGTTATTGTAGAAAAATTTGAAGTGCGGACTTTCGTCGTCGTTATTGCCTTGTCCAGGTGCCTCCGAGAGCGGAATCATCAGGTCGCAGTACTCGAACCGGACACGGTTCGCCCACTCCACGTAGGCCTTTATCGTGTCTTCTTCCGTCTCCCCTGCCCGAACATCGCCACCATTTTGCTCGGTGCTGTCAGGGATCTTCGGGAGGCTGGCGCGCAGCCGCTGCAAGAAGGCATCACCTTTGGTCTCAGCGAGCGATCGATCAATGGCTTCAGCAGTATCGATTATGCGTTGACAGAACTTCAGCATCTTCGCGTTCTCCTCCGACTGCGTGCGCCCTGTATCCTTGGCCTTGCCTTTCTCGACGCTGGTCATCCGCTTTTCCTCCTCCGTCATCTCGACCACGGGCTCGTTGAGCTTCGGTCCCTCGAGGCCTTTGACCGCGGCCCGAGCCTGGATGACAATAGCCTCTAAAAGTTCACGGGGTCCCGAGCTCCCTTCGTATGTCGTCGTACGTTCGCGCACTCTGGCGCTACCTCTCGGCGACTTCTTCGAAGGGACAGTCTTGACTGACGTAACGACCATGATTGGCATTGCCATCATACTTGCCAGTGCTTCGTGACAAGAGATAGTCTAGACAGCGGTGAGAATGCGGTGAAGACGTTTGCAACAATGATCGTACCTCAAGCCAGTCAAATAGCTCAATGTATAGCACTGAGCGATCGGACATGTCCGCGAGCGAATCATTACGAAGGAGCTGACTACCGACGAAGTTGAACCGTCGGCGGAGATGCGCGAGTGCGGTTGGATGCACGAGGTAATCACTAGTCTTTGGGCCACCCGGACGACGAACGGACGGGAGGTAGACCCGTATGCTGGCAAGTAGGAAAGCGAGCTTCTCGTCCTTAGCGCGTTGGGCTGCCAATGCTTCGAGCTGTCCAGAAATCTAAGAACTGTCGTCAGGGACCACGCCCGCAGCTCAAGACGGCTTCACCTACATCCTCTCTCACGTCGCCGGCATACCCGGTACCGAGCTTAGCTTTCTTTCCATGAGTAACTGCTGCGTAGTAAGTTTCGTCGTCGTCGTCGTCATCAAGATCCGCAGGTAAGTGTATCGGGTCAGCATTGCGCCTCTTCGCACCCTTGGTGTTCGGTGTAGACTGGTTTGATGAATCTTGAGTTTGGTCTACAAACATCTTCTCCAGCATTGTGAGGCCGACGCCGAGTATAACGCCCTGAAGATTGGGGCAATGGAACAAATGATCGGTCGGGTCAGTAGATGCCGGCTTTGACTCAATGGGCTCTGCACAAGCGAAACAGTATTGCTTCCTGCATCTGGCACATGTCCGAGGAACAATGTTCTGGAGGTGCTTGATGTAGGTGGCAAAGAGTTTCTGCGCGGAGTAGTTAATGACATCTCCATCGGTGAGTATACACGAGACTCACGAAGAGAGGAAAGAAGTCTTGTCTCTGACGAGCGATGGCCTGGCCACAGCCGTGGGGGCAGCGGCACTCGCCTTCGCCGAGTTCGCGGTACAAACTGAACAAGAAGCTCTGCTCGCTGCCCTCCGGACAGCCCTTCATCCATTGGCCCTGTGTCATCAGAGTTGCTTCTGCATTGACGTCGGACACATGCGCCGTCTCGGGTTCCTCCTCCACTTCTATCACCTCTTCGCGCCGGTCCTTTGAGAAGAATATACCTGCCGCGAGGTGAGTTACAGACGTGTACACAAGCGTACCAACATACCAGCATAAGGATCCGCCATAGCATGATTGCTCGCTCCGTCCGGCTTGGCATCGTCCTCTGAGTCGTAATAATCGAACTCTCCATCTACGCTAAAATCAGCGTGATACGGCGCAGCTAGGGTAGTAACATACCGTCGCCCTCATCATCATCTTCACCGGACATTTCCGCGGCATTTTCGTCGTCGTCAGGTGTCTATTGTGTAACGTGCTGTAGGTAATTAGCACGAAACTCAGTGTCGTTGCACGACTCACCATCATCCTCGGCTTGGGCGCTGGTGGTGGCGCCTCACTGGATTCCATGGTCACATCTCCGTCGGGATCGAGCAGATGATCAAAGCTCCCATCGAAAATATGCTCTGCGGCCTGCATGACATCCTTGTGCTTCTGGAGGGCAGCGCGGGCCTGAGCCACAGTCGCGCCCTAATCGCGCCTTTCAGCCGGTCGTCAAT